TAGGTAGTGGTTGATGAAGCTTGTAATGATTGGAAGTAATGGTATCAAAGAACTGTAATAGACAGTAGGTAGTGGTTGATGAAGCTTGTAATGATTGGAAGTAATGGTATCAAAGAACTGTAATAGACAGTAGGTAGTGGTTGATGAAGCTTGTAATGATTGGAAGTAATGGTATCAAAGAACTGTAATGGACAGTAGGTAGTGGTTGATGAAGCTTGTAATGATTGGAAGTAATGGTTTCAAAGAACTGTAACGGGCAGAAATATGTAATGATACAAGGTAGTGTCATGAATTGTCACAGAAGAAAAATAGAAAACAGAAGAAAAAGATCCATAATAAAACATTTAGTGTCAAAGAAACAAAACATTTAGAGAACTAAGTATCTAAAAAGAAATATGACTCTTGTAACAACAGTAAAAACACCTTCAAAATTTGGATTGAGAGAAATAAAGTACTACCAAACTTATTCAATAAAATAGAAAGACTTGGAAAATTTGTCCATAAAACAACCATTAGAAGTAGAAAAATAAGTTTAAATAACCTGTATAGAAAAGTGAACTACAAATAAAATTTAAATCCCATAAATAAAAGGATTTAATCTATTTATTCATGACTAGTGTAATTGGACTCAACTTCCACAGACCAATGGATGTGATTTTGTATCATTAAAAACAGCAGATTAGATAAAGTCTGCTGCAGAGTTAACAAACACGACTGAATTATTTTAGGCTAAATCGAGAGATTTTAATCACACTAAACAATGAAAGAATTGAATTATTCACATACAAAATATTTTCAACAGAAAAGTGAAGTTGTTTTCAAGGTTTAGGAAAACCCAATGATCGGTCTTAAAAAAGTATACACAATGGACTAAGGACCTGCTCTATGTTCTATGGGACTTGACACAGAACTGAAGCATGCAAAACGTTTTAAAATGGGAAAAAAACTATAGCAGACATGTTTTCTTGCCTAAAGTCAAAGCTTTAATAGATATTCCTCAGCACAGAACTAGATGGATTGATATGAAATGACATTCTTGTCCCTAGCCAGCCACAGAATGGGTTTATTTACGTAATGTGCATTATTTGTATAGTATTTCTAATTACTAATACTAGTCCAGAATAAAATTATCAAGAAATGCAACTGAACGGAGTTTCCAACTCTAGCATTCATAAAAAAAAGATAAATAAATAAAAAATTACACACACACAAATACATCAGGGTGTCCACTGATATTTTATTTTCAAATGCCCTGTATTTTCCCTGTTTTACCAGCATTTGTTTCTGGAACACATTATACAATAATGTCAATATATCTATATATTACAACACACACACACACACACCCAGGTTAATTTTTTAAATACTTATGCAATGAGATAAGAATTAAAATGGGCTTAGAAGTATTTGTTTACCATACTAATGTTAAACATGCAAATTCCAACACAGCACAGATTTCAATTACCTTTAAAAGCATGTGTAGAAGGTCCATCTCGTGTGCATGTTCCATCAAAACTGATGCAAGAGCTTGGCCATACCATGATCCAGAAATCTCATTTCGATATGAAATATGTCCTACAAAGTAATAAGAATCCTAAACACTCTACACTGAAAAAAATAGGAATTTGACGAATCATGATAAATGTGTTACCAACCAAGTGAATTAATACAATTGCATAGAAAAACAGGGCTAATATTACTTTACAAATACCGTAAAAAAAACAACAAAACAATCTGCAGTCAAGCAGGAATTACAAAATAATTTTCTTTGTGTTTTATTTTTATCTTAGTAAAGGTTACAGTAATAGTTGAACATTTATAAAGTTACATAGTTAATAATCACATTAATATGATAGTCTACAGCAGTTGTAAGCACATTTTTTTTATTGTACCTCCCCCTCTTTCTAAAGGTGCATTTTGTTACACCCTCCCCCATCATTTTTACATGTTAATTATTGTTACTATATTAATTAATTGTAGTAATATTTGTATGGTTTTACAATTATATACTTTCAGATATAACTTGTATGATCCTACAATCATAGTTGGGTGTCCTCTACTGCCTCTCTGTGACCACAAGGGGGGTCAAACAGACCACACTATACACACCACAGGTCTAGGGGCCTGTGTAGTAAATACATATGTAATATGTTCTAAATTTCTGTACCATTTCTTGATTTTTATGAAAAGCTTAAACATGAATCTCATGAACATGCTGTAAAGTTATGATAAAACAATTCTTAAGACAGACAGAATCATAACCATAAAACTACTAGTTAATTCACAAAGCTTATAAGGTACTCATACATACTAATAAAAAATCCTCCATCAACTTTATTATGCAAGAGCAACAAGGCATTTCTGTCGTGTATACACACACACACACACACACACACACAA